TTACATCAGCCCGGGCCTGGCCGTCCTCGTGTTCCCGAGCCGCGGCCGCCGAGGAGAGGGAAGCCCAAGGCGGCGGGTGGCGCCCCTCCCCCGCCAAGCCTCCGCAGAAAGGTGACCTCTCGAGGGAGCCCTCGCCAGGGACCTGGGGAGCCATCCCTGCCCCTTCTGTCGTCCCCACCCCCGACGCCTGCCCTGCACTGGCAGGAACGTCCTAAGCCCCTGCCCGGTTTCTCTTTTCTCTGGCGAGTGGAGGGAAGCCCAGCAACCTGGTAATTTTCACTTCTCAACGCTGAGAGGACCTGTCTGATCCTCTCTGGCTCAGAGTCTGGGAAAGGATGGTAACTGTCAGAAGTGGGGGCCGGAGCCCACCCCGGGCTTTGTGCTAAATCTACCTAAAGTCCGGACTTGGTGACCCGTGCCTGCCTACCACCTTGCAGTTCCCGTGATCTGTACTGCTCCTTTTAACGGGGCGGGCAAAGGGGGCTTCAAGACGGTCATCGCTACACTTTTACCGTTTACCCTTTTGGTGTTGGGGGAACCCGCCATCACCCAGGCAGCATGGACTTGTCCTCCTGTGTCTTTCCCTGACCTCCTTGTCTTAGCAAAACCCAGTGTTGGAGCAGGTGGTTTTTTGGAACCAGAAACTTGCTCACCAACTTGCTTCTCAAAACCACCCAAGGGTTCCTCTGGAGCTCCTCCCTTCCAGCTTCTCTCAGCCTTACAGTCTAGTTGGAGAGAAGGCTGAAGGAAGGAAGTGGGCAGGGGTCCCTGCCACCACTCAAGGTTCCTCAGACCCTGGCACAAAGGCCTTGGCTCCAGGCCTCCAAGTGGGGAGGAGGGGGAGGAGTGGCTGCCTGGTCACAGTGTGACCTTCAGAGGCCCCCAGAGAAGGGCACCTGGCCCCTCCCTGCACGCTCCTCCTGTGCCCCCTGGCTTTGGAGGGGCCCAAAGTTTCTGCTCCCTTTTCTCATCGAAGTGGGGGGTCAGGGAGAATGTCAGGGGTTGTGGTGGGGGGTGGGTGAAGGCTGGGGTGCAGAATCAGGGGTTCCCAGGGGGCTGCCATGGGGGGCTGTCTAGATGGGAGCCTGGCAAAGGCCATCTTCCCTGGAGAGGGGCTTCTCTGGCCTTGGCTCTGGGGAATGGCTGGGGGCCCAGCCCCCCAAGTGCATTGAGGGTATATAGGAACGGAAGAGGCAGACATGGTGGGCCCTGCGGGGTGGGGGTGGGGGGATGTCTGGGTATCCAGCAAGAGGAGCAGGTGAGGGCAAGGGTTGGGGGACCTGGAACCTCTAGGAAGTGCCAGAAATCTTCTCCTGCTGCAGTTGGGTCCACAGGGCTGGCTCCTTGACCTTCACAGCTTCTGGGGAGGGTTAGGGCTGAGTGTGCTGTGGAAGGAAAGGCTTCCCTGGTGGCATTTAGGGAAGGCACCCAAGGGTGACGGAGGAGGGGGAACAAGGTGGAAGTGGGAGGTGAGGGAGGCTCCTGGGAGAAGAGTGCGGGGCAAAGCAGGGCCTCCTCCCTGCTCTTCAACCTCTAAACAACCTGTGGGGACACCAGCGTTCTTGGGACTGAAGAGCACTGCTGGGGGAGGGTGGCCGGTGCCCTTCGGTCCTCTGCACCACCCCCCAACACCAGCTCACCCTGGTATTTGTCATGTCAGCAGGAGAAGGTCACCATGTTGTTTTTCTCGCCCCCAGTCCTTCTTCCTGCCCCAGTCCAAATTTGTCCTCCTAGTTGACCTTAATACTTACCCATAGCTTTCGACCAGGGAACCAGGGGGCCCATGAGAATGAGAGGAGGGCAGTGTGGGGAGGGGATGGGGACAGGGACAGCGCAGCATTCTGTGTTTACCTCCTGCATTATGAGCAAACCTCCCCCCCAGTGTCTGGTTAGTCTTTAACTTCTGTAGGTTCAGAGTTGGAGCAGTCTGGGGTGGTGGGCATGCTTGAAGCCTGCAGGGACCCCTGCCTGGTCCCCATTCCACTCGAGTGCCTTGGACAAGGCAGAGGCTGTGGCCGGGAGGGCAGCACTGAGGGGGGAGGGGCAGTAGCTGGGCTCTGCAGCCCCGTACCCATGCAATGCCAACGCCTTGCTCTTTTGTTTTGTCACTAGTGGTCCCAGGCGGCACCCATGGCAGAAGGAGAGCAGAAGCCCCGCGAAGGTGAGTCCCTGGCTCTTGGGTGGGGTCCCCTGTCACCCTAGGGCCCAATTTCTCCTTTGCAGAGCTGTGGGGGGAGGGGTGCAGGAAGGTGAGGGTCAAGTCAGAAAGGGGGGCGGCACCGTGAGCTTTAACCCTGCCGTTTCCTGAAGTCTCACCTTCGTTGCAGTCTCTGCTAGGAATCGGACTTGTTGCTTTTTTCCTTCTATTTCTAGTAACATTTTACTTGGAGCAGGAGCTGTGAGTGTAGACAGGTAGTGTTCAGGGACTCCAGATGTGAAGGCAAGTGTCTTTTATAGCCTTGTCCCCAGGCGAGCAAGGATGTTCAGTGCTTCTGATGGGAACTCCCACCTCCCCTGCGGCTTGAGTCCCTTTGGGGGTAGAGAAAGCTGTGGCTCATGGCTTTGGGTGCTGTGAACTTCCCTCCTGGGCCAGCAGAGGGCTGGCTGTGGCTCCCAGGCGCCCCGCCCCCTGCCCAACCCTGAGTCGCCTGCCTTTTGTTCCGATGTGGTTTGGAGCATGGGGATCCTCCCATTTCTCTGGGGACGCCCTGGCTCTACCCACCACTGAGTGTGGCCTCTGCTGCAGCCTCTGACCACCACTTTCCTCGCTTCTGAGGAAGGGCTGGCCGTGGGGGTCTTTGTCTGGCCCAGTTTCCCTGACCCAAATCCAGTGTGTCCCCAGTAGCTGGCCGGTTCTGCCTCCTTCCCCACCCAAGGAGCCCTTGTCTTGGCCCAGGGCCTGGCCTGCTGCCACTTCCTGGCCGGTGCCACTGATGGGGCTCCTGCTCCCAGTGCACCACCCACCCTCTTCGGCTTCCCAGTGGTCTCTGTGGTCTGGGTGAAGCTAGACAAATGGTCTTTGTTTGCTGGAGAAAAGCCTGTCTGCCATAAATAAGGAAAACCACGGAAGCCTGGTGTTGGAGTGTGTGTGTCCACACGCCCTGTGTGAGGGAGCATGGTGTTCTTGCAGGCCAGCTGTGAGGGGTTCTGGTGGGGGTCGCCCCCTCACCGTGTCTGGCTTTGTGGATTCTGAGGGTTTTGTCCTTTTAGCATCAGCCTCATTGCCCAGGTCAGGTCTTTTCTGTCCATTCTGGGTTAAGCACCAACCCTGGACCACCTCTGTCCTAGCCATGGACAAATCATCTGGCTCACTATAGACTTGGCTTTAAAAAACGAGTGTTTCAGATCTCAGGTCCAATTACTCATTTTTGATTATGCTTTACTGTAACCTGTTGGGATGGGGAGGCCTTTTGTGCCCATTAGCTGCTCTGCAGGAGGAGTAGAGCTCCTGGGAAGCTGGGGGACTGGCTCAGGCTCCCCCTCCCCATGCTCCTTTGCGTTTTTCATACTTATGGCCTTCTCGCCACCTTCTCAGCTCCCCAGATGGTCCCCACCCAGCCTGTTTCACTGCATCTCTGGGTCTCATCTTCCTTCACCTTTGGGAAGCAGAATAAGGGGATAGTAGGGGGTACGGTAGTCTCTGTGGTTGGCATTCAACGCTATGGTGAAGCGCCATCCTGTCACCCAGAATGAGAAGAGACCAGTTGTTTTCAGGACTGAAAATAAGAGAGAAACCCTTATGTTTCAACCTCTGGTCTCATGTCTTTTTAAAAATCAGGCTGCTCCACTCACACACAGGAGCAGAGGCAGAGGCCCAGAGAAGGGTAGGACCGGCCCAAGGTCACCCAAAGTCACGGCTGGAGCCTGGTCTCCCTGTTGGCCGGGCCATTTCTTCCCTCCTGCATTGCTGAACTCACCTCACTCATCTCAGAACAGGCTGAAGGTGGAGTGGTGGTGCTGGGGGTGTGCTGGAGGGTGGCAGACGGCGCCACAAGTCACAGTCGTCCTACGTGTATTTATTCTCAGGGCCCCGCCCCAGCGGCCCAGAATTACCCCTTCATGCTCCAGTGCACCTCAGGCACTGCGGTCGGCCTGGGAAACTGTCTTCTCCCTGGTCTCCCTCCAGATTGGCTTCTAGCAATGCTCTGCGGCAGCCGGGGGCAGCACTGTTTTTTCCATGATGCAAGTGGTTTGCCCTCTTGGGCGGGGCTATCGGTAGCTGGCAGGGCCTGCACTGAGTGCCCGCCCACCGCCACCTGCTGACACCTTCTCAGCCCTCATCTGGGGAGGGGACTGGCCTGGGGGAAGGAGCTTTCATAGTACCGAACATGACATAGGCTTGGGCATCAGAGCTCTTGCTAGTGATGCCACTTGTAAGCAGTGGGACCTCTCTGTGCCTCCAGCTCCCGTTGTAGACTGGGGCCTCGGTGGCCTTTGGTGGCTGGCCGGTGTGGGAGGAGCTTATGAGAGATGACACCTGTGTGCCCCTGTGCAGTGCCAGCTGTAGTAAGGGCTCAGTAAACTCTTGCTGGCCGGATTGGTGCTGAGACTGTGGGAGCTAGTGAGCAAACAGGGGCCAGGCTGACAAAAGTCCTTCCCGACAGGTTAGCCTAGGGCGCTCCCAACAGGTGCACCCGTAGTCACTGAATTCACTGGGCCGTCACGGTGAGGCAGGGAGCAGATGTGATGGGCCATCTCCTCTGGGTGTTGACAGCTCGTGTGATCTGTGATCTGTAGAGATAGGGGCTGGCCACCTTGTGCCCTGGGCTCATGTGTCACCTCTTCCCTGTAGTGGTGAAGTTCATGGATGTCTACAAGCGTAGCTATTGCCGGCCCATCGAGATGCTAGTGGACATCTTCCAGGAGTATCCTGATGAGATCGAGTATATCTTCAAGCCGTCCTGTGTGCCCCTGATGCGCTGTGGGGGCTGCTGTAACGACGAGAGTCTGGAGTGTGTGCCCACCGAGGAGTTCAACATCACCATGCAGGTGGGTCCCTGTGGGAGTGGGGCTGGGGGTATAGGGAGGGGTGTTAGACTTTGCAGCAGGGGACTGGGCCATTTCCTGGAACATTCTGGGTAGGAGGACCTTGGCTTGCCCTGCCCGGCCCCTGCCCTGTGTTGGGCTGGGGTGGGAACTGTGTGGAATGGGGGGACTCTTAACTGCTTTGGAAAGAAGATACCTGCATTTCCTATGAAGCCCAGCCACCTTGCCTCCTGCCTGACCTTTGCCTCTGGGTTTAGGATGAGGCACTCTCCTCCTCTCTGGAGAGATGCTAAGGCTTCCATTGTTGGGGTGTGGGGGGACAGGGAGGGGGTGTTTGGGAAGCTGGTGGGACCTGGACTGAAAAGAGTCAAAAGCCAGTGTTTGGGTGCTGTCTGGTGACAGGCACATCTCAGCCCAGACAGGATAAGAGTGGAAGAGAATTCTGAGATGGAGCGGGCAGCTCTCAGGGAGGGGTCGGGACAGCCTAGCCAGGTGACAGGAGGGGAGGGGAGGGGATGGTAAGAACCACGACCCGAATTCCCAGCCTGGCCAACCCTTGCAGCCACGCCTCCCTCAAGAGGAGCAGAGGCTCCTTGAGGCCAGCAGGGTTGGGGGAGCTCGGTGGCCTTGGCTCTCTTCTGCTAGAGCCCTGGTCCCCGGCCTCCGCCACCCACCCCTGCTCTTAGAACCCCTGGGCACTGAGTGACAGGAGCCCTGGTGTCCCATCTGGGTATGGCTGGCTGGGTCACTGACCTCTGGTCTGCTTCCTTCCTGCAGATCATGCGGATCAAACCCCACCAGGGGCAGCACATCGGAGAGATGAGTTTCCTCCAGCACAGCAAATGTGAATGCAGGTGAGGCTGGGCTGGGCTCCGTGCTATCATGTCTACCTTGGTGACCGTGGGCCATTGACTTTGGTTTGTGTCAGTTCCCGGATCTGTTAAATGGGCATGATGACTGATTGTACTTCATTATTAGATGGATTAGATGAGTTACTGTAACATGTCGCAGGGTCAGAAACATGTTGCTACGTCATGCACGCAGTGTTGGGTGGTCTCCTTTTGTAGTTATCACCGGCTCTATCTTAATCCTTGTTTTATTTTCCTCTCTTTCTCTACCCATTGCAGACCAAAGAAAGAAAAAGCAAGGCAAGAAAAGTAAGTGGCTCTGACTTTAGTCTTCTCTTCTTGGCTGTCATCTGGGTTCGGGGCTTTGGCCTTCTCTCTCCGGGGCTCCGAGGGCCTTGTGGGGTCAGGGTGTTGATCTCCCAGGGACCTGTGGTTGTAGCTGTGGTCAGAGCCAGCTTGGGGCTTACGGCTGTCAGCTTAGTGAGACGGCCCTCTCCAGAGTCTGATGTGCCCCCTGGGAGAGCCGATTCCTTCTGGACAGCAGGCTGCTCCTGGCCACCCTTGCTGTTTCCATGTTTCGGGGGACAGTGTGATACTGGCTCCCTGGCTTGCTGTAGGGCACCCATAGTGGGCAGAGGGAGCAGGTGGTGGAGAGGCCAACTTCCGTGTGTCAGAGGAAGTGGCCTCTTTTGGGGGCGACTTTGTTGGTACAGTTTGGGGATCTTGGTGTGTGCCTTCCCGCACGTGAGGAGGGTGGTGTGTTGGCCATTTTCTGAAGGTTTCTCCTCTTCATCGTGGGGCAGGGTGGTGTGGGGAGTTTGTTCTGGAAGTAGTGACCTCCAGCCCTGGTGGGTAGCTGGTGGCCAAATGCAGGGAAGGAGAGACTGAGAGAGAGTACTGTGCCCTGCCTCCCCGTCTGGCTGCCCTGCCGCTCTGGGACTCCAAGTCCCCAAGCTTCAACCCCGCCTCTTCCCACAGTCCCAGCTTCCAGGGTTTCTGTGACTTAAAGAGTAACTGTGTAGGAGGATAGGATGAGAGAGAGAGACAGACAGACAGACAGACAGACACAGAGAAACCCTTCTCCTCTGTCCTTCCAGCACACTCTCCTGTCCCCTCTCCCTCTTCCCCTGGGTGGGCAGCCATGCTGAGGTGTGTTTTCCCGGAGAGTTCTGGTTCCCTGAGGGCAGCAGGCTGCAGCCTGTCCCCTGCTCGTCCCTCATGTGCCTGCTTTGCCATGGGGAGAGAGCGGGGCTCGCCTGGGCTCGAGATCCGCAGCGATGGCGCAGCCCGGGGAGACTCCCTGCCAAGCACTGCCGGCCTAGCCCCGTGGTCCCTTGACCCTGCTATTCCTGCCTGCTGAGATGAGCACAGCCCCACGCTGCCAGTCTCTGAGGCTGTGCTGGGTTTGAGGCCAGCTTCCAAGGTAGCTGCTGCTCCCCTGGAGGGACCCCGTCTGGAAATGGGCCTCCCACCCGGTCTCCACCCTTTCACACGCCTGACCTTCAGGGTCAGACTGGGACAGGGATGCTGGGGTCAGGCGCGACAGGAGATGGAGCCCCAGGTCCTCCCCAGGCTCCCTTTCTATCTGAAGCCTTGGTGTGGGTTGCGTGGCCACCACATGGTGACCAAGTGAGGAGCAGGTGGAGCTGGGGTGCACCCACGTCTTCAGCGAGGCTTTGTTTCCATTGTCCCCTCTGCCTGTCCCTTCCCCTCCTAGTCTTGCGCTCTCTCTGTCTGTCTCTTTTTATTTTCCAGAAAATCAGTTCGAGAAAAGGGAAAGGGGCAAAAACGAAAGCGCAAGAAATCCCGGTATAAACCCCGGAGCGTGTGCGCGCTGGTGCCGCTGCTACTTCCCGGAGCCTCCCGCGTCCCTTCCTGTGCCCCGAGTCCCCGGGCCCCTCCCTGGCTCTGCCCTTCTTGCCCCAGTGTCTCTCTCTCACTCTCACTGCACTAATGGGCACCAATGGTTAAACTGGTGATGGTGTTTTGGGCCCAGGGTTGGGGTACATGGGTGGACCGCGTGGGCCTGAAGATTCCGGGAGGGGATTCTGGCTTGGCTGGGCACACACAGGCTTTCTCTCACCCACTGGGTGCTGGTGGCAGTGGGCCTGTGTTGGTACGGGTGCTGGGCACTAGGTCCCACGTGCCCAGATGGTTTCTGCCACTGGGCTTCTGCACATCTGGAAGCTGAGTGGGGGGGTAGGAGACATAGGAAGGGGTGTCATGATGGGAGGTAGCTTACTGTGGGCCGGAGGAAGAATTTGGGTGCATTGAGCCCTGTGCCATGGCCCCCTCTCATCTGGTAGCGTTTTGGCTCCTCATGGACTTGGGGCCTTTGGAGGGGAATGGCACTGTAGCATGGCCCAGAGTACCACTGGAGTCTCCCTAGGGCATCCCTGCGGTCCTACTGCGGGAGTGCACAGTGCCTCTGGCTGGGCCTCTGCCCCGGGTTGCCTGCCTTTGCTGGAGGGGCCTGGGCATGAACCTTGCCTGTCACAAAATTGTGTCCCAGGTGATCTTGTCTGCCTTCGATTGCTGCCCCCAATGGCAGAAGAGTCAAGGAGTGCCCTTTTGGGGACGGCAGCAGTTGGGGCCCTGTGGCCCAAGGAGCGCCCTGCATGGCCGTCCTCTTCCTGCGTGCTCTGCCCACTCGTGCCCTGCTCTTCCAGGGCAGGCATCCTAGCCAGTGCCGCCTCTTTCCTTGCTCTCTGTCTTTTGCTGTGCTCTGCTCCTTCCAGGGTGTGGAAGGATGTGGAGGCCACATGCCGGCTGGGGGACCGCTGCCATGCGTCAGGGGTGTTGCATGGGTTTTTCCTCTCTTTCTGCTGACGCTCTAGCTTAGATGTCTTTCCTTTTGCCTTTTTGCAGTCCCTGTGGGCCTTGCTCAGAGCGGAGAAAGCATTTGTTTGTACAAGATCCGCAGACGTGTAAATGCTCCTGCAGAAACACAGACTCGCGTTGCAAGGCGAGGCAGCTTGAGTTAAACGAACGTACCTGCAGGTTGGTCGCCAGAGGGTGGGCAGTGAGTCAGAGGGGCGCTGGAGGGAGACAGAGAGAGCGCGTGTGCGTGCACGAGCACGCGCGCCTACTACTGCTTGCCCAGCTTCTCCTGCCTGCCTGGCCACTGCCCCCTTCTCTGCCCGCCAGGCCCCGTGGACAGGGCTGTGGGTGCTGGCGTGGCCTGGCAGGCCTGCCCTGAGGTCGTCCTGGCTGCCTGCGTGGGGAAGCTGGTCAGGGTCTATGTGGCGTGGCTTCATGTGGTATGGACGCAAGTTGTATGTTGTGTCCTGTGGTCCTGCCGCTGGTGGTATCTGTTGGTGCTGATGTTTTGACCTTCATCTGTGCTGACTCCAAGGAGGAGGCCCTTGCTGGTGTCTGCAAGTGCGGGCTGCTCCTGGCCTCATGCTGCCCTCCGATGTCTACACAGCCTGCTTCTCAGCCCCAGGCTTCACTGAGGGCATGGATGGAGACCCCTCCTCCAGACTGGGGCTCCTGATCACAGGGCTGTGTCTTAATGCTGCATACACAAAGAGTTTAGCATTGAGAACCTTAGCTATCCCCAGCCTGTTCCAATCAAAGTGACAACCCTGAGTGTTTCCAGGCATCCCAGGATGGGGCCCAGGGTTAGACCATGGACTCCAAAGCCCAGGCCTGGCTTGCTTCCTTTGGGACCCCCAGGGGTCTGTGCCTTGGTCCTTTGTCCATGTGGGAACCAAGGCATTGCCAGGTGCATTTGTGAGCACTGTATGGATGAGGGCTGTGATGGTACCATTCTGAGTGCCACTGTGGCCTTGCTTGAGGGGAGCCTCCAAGGAGGAGGCTTTTATGGCTTGGCCCAGGTGGAGGTGGGCACCCAGCCATCCCAGGACCGAGGCTCTTTGGATCTGCTTCCCCGCCCCCAGCCTATGGTTTTGTGACTTATGAGTATTTAGGGGACGTGGGGTTAGACTGTGTTTTGGTGTAGCTTCTGTCTGTCTCAGAGCTGTGTGGGGACAGGAAGTGTGCATTAGTGCTGGGTGCAGCCTCTGCCTCACTGTGGGCAGGGACTCAGCTCCCCAGGGGCCCCAGGGGAGACGAGGAACTTGGCACTTTAGGGTTTCTGTGGTAGCTATTCTACAAGGGGATGTGTGAGGTCACTGACTCGAGACCTTGCTGTACCCTAGCTCGCTGTGCGGGGATTTCAGCTCCCCAGCTGGGAGCTTAGGATCCTACAGTAGAGGGTAAAAGATCATCAGTTGGTGGCAAGGGTATGATAAGGCGTCTGATGTCCCCTCTATTCCAGCAGGAATAGCAAAGCCGTCGACCCGTCTCTCCCAGCCTATGAACATTGTTGGAAAGAATAGGCACTGGGGCCTGGCCTGCAGCTGCCAGCAGCTCAGGAGACATGTTCTGTCACCCTCCTGCAGCCCAGGCCCCTGGGGACCTCACGTCCTCAGGGCAGCGCTCTGTTTGGGGCCGCCCATTCTCCCTGCCTCTGCCCCTCTCTTCCCGAACCAGTCCCTGGAGACAGAACCAGAAATCCTTTCTCCAGAAGGACCCTTTTCTGGTTAACTTCCTCCACTCACCCATCAGCTTTGCAGTGTCACCTCAGGGCTGTCCTCTGGCACGTGTCCATCCGTTGCTTTGTGAGGTGTCCCTGTGTCTTGTTTTGTCTCACCTCGGTCCCTGCTGCACTGGGGGTCCATGAGCGTGGGGCTGGGTGTCCATCCCAGGACTGACCTCCCCTGTCCTCTGCTCCTGCTGTGCTAGGGAGCCCGGATTCCCCAGGCATGGGAGGCTCCTTGCCTCTCCACTAGGCCTCCTCTGCTGGCCTAACCCTCAGCCTTTCTCTGTTGTCCCCTCAGATGTGACAAGCCGAGGCGGTGAGCCAGGCTGGAGGAAGGAGCCTCCCTCGGGGTTTCGGGAAGCAGACCTCTTGCCAGGGAAGATGGATGCAGAACGACCGAGACTCACCACGCTGCCGCCACACACCATCACTTCGACAGAACAGTCCTTAATCCAGAAACCTGAAATGAAGGAGGAGGAGACTGCGCAGAGCACTTTGGGTCCGGAGGGCGAGGCTCCGGCAGAAGCATTCCCAGGCGGGTGACCAGCACGGCCCCTCTTGGAATTGGATTCGTCATTTTTATTTTTCTTGCTGCTAAATCGCCGAGCCCGGAAGATTAGAGAGTTTTATTTCTGGGATTCCTGTAGACACACCCACCCACATACATACATTTATATATATATATTATATATATATAAAAATAAATATATATATTTTATATATATAAAATATATATATTCTTTTTTTAAATTAACTTTGCTAATGTTATTGGTGTCTTCACTGGATGTATTTGACTGCTGTGGACTTGAGTTGGGAGGAGAATGTCCCTCCCAGAACGTGACAGGGAAGAGGATGGGGTGAGAGACCCTGGCAAGACCGCTTTGTCCCTTCTAGGGAGGCCAGGGTCCTCTCCCCTGCCTGGGCACGTGCAAAGCCAGGGCACAGGGGGCACATGTGGCTCGCTTCCGGGAACACCGACAAACCCAGCCCTGGCTTCCCCAAGCCTTCACCCTGAGTCACGTGGACAGAGACAGATGACAGGTACAGGGATGCGGACACAGGCTCAGACGGGAGTCGGAAGCCTCAGGACACGGAGGGCTTGTGGATCCCTGCCACGTGCTACCTGGAAGAGTTGGAGCCTGGCAGCCTTCACCTGAGCTCATCTGCTTCCCGGTCACCCAGGAGGCCTTGGACGGGTGTCCTCGTGAAGGAGAGGGACAGTGGTAGATGAAGCGCCGGGTGACGGCTCTCCTGGGGCCTCTCATCCTCGCCCTCCCCTCCTCCCCTCGTGCAGCCCAGGAGGGCATTGAGTCCTCAGACCATTGAAACCACTAGTTCTGTCCCCCAGGAGACCTGGCTGTGTGTGAGTGGTGTCCCTTCTGTCCCCTCCCCTCTCCCTCCTCCCTTCCCCTCCTTTCCCTTCCCCTCCCCGAGGCACAGAGAGAAGGGCAGGATGCATATGCCCACCATGGAGACAGAAAAGAGAAAATGTTTTATATACGGTACTTATTTAATATCTCTTTTTAATTAGAAATTAAAACAGTTAATTTAATTAAAGAGTAGGGTTTTTTTTCAGTATTCTTGGTTAATATTTAATTTCAACTATTTATGAAATGTATCTGTCCCTCTTTCTCGCTCTCTTATTTGTACTGGTTTTTGTGTATAAAATCCGTATTTCCAATCTCCCTGCTTGGTGACAGTCACTGACTTGTCCCAAACAGGTATTTAATTTGCTAACACTCAGCTCTGCCTTCCCCATTCCCCTGGCTCCCCACCACACATTCCTTTGAAATAAGGTTTCAATATACATCTACATACTATATATATATTTGGCAACTTGTGTTTGTGTGTATATATATATACATATATATATATGTTTATGTATATATGTGATTCTGATAAAATAGACATTGCTATTCTGTTTTTTATATATAAAAAACAAAACAAGAAAAAATAGAGAATTCTACATACTAAATCTCTCTCCTTTTTTAATTTTAATATTTGTTATCATTTATTTATTGGTGCTACTGTTTATCCGTAATAATTGTGGGGGGAAAAGATATTAACATCACGTCTTTTGTCTCTAGTGCAGTTTTTTCGGGATATTCCGTAGTACATATTTATTTTTAAACAACAACAAAGAAATACAGCTATATCTTAAAAAAAGCATTTTGTATTAAAGAATTTAATTCTGATCTCAAAGCTCCTCTTGGTCTCCTTCTGCAGACTTCCTCTGCCCCTCCCTCCTCCCTTGGGGACCTGGTATTGTCTGAGGTCTGGGAAGAGGTCCCAGTTTGTGGGATACGGGTTGACCCACCTCCTGGTGCTGGGGGCTTGAGTCCTTCCATTCTGGCCTTGCTGGTTCTGAGGGATCCCATCTCCCTATGCCTTGATACGAAAGGTGGGTTGTTCTGAAAATGGATGGAGGGGGCTATAGTCCTTCGAGGCCAAGAGCCCTTGCAGGGGGTCAGGCTGGTTGAGGAAGGAACCAGCCACATCCTCATAGGCTGGAGGGCTGTTCAGCTACACGGTCATCTTGTGACAGGCAGCTGGGAGTGGGAGGGGGGGTGCTACTAGGGGACTGACTCCAGGGTTAGTTTATTGTCACAGGCTGTATGTTGGGTTCCTTGGGTGGCAGAAAAAGAGGCTTATTGCTCTGGTTGCCGGTGATGGGCCCGTGCCCACCCCTCTTGCTGTCTGAAGCCATCTCTTGTGCTGGTCGCTGGAAGGTGGCGTCTCTCTGTGTCCTCAGCATAGATGATCAGTGCTTCCACATCCTCTCCGACTGGCCTTCCTTTATTCTTGTGGAGCACAGAAGGGTTTGGATAAATACTGGCCAGTGGTGACTCTTGGCTGTTGCAGACTTGGGAGATGTCCTGAGGGTGCCATGGGGCTGTGGGTGGTGGGGCAGACCTCCAGTCATGTAAGGACAGGTCCTTCTTTTAAACGGAGCTCCATCTGAGAAGCACTTCTCTCCCACTCATGTGCTGCCCTGGGGAGCATGTCTTCAGTTACTTCTACCTGACACCAACTTAAAGGAGGAAACGTTTATTTTGACTCGCAGTTTTTACAAGTTTCAGTCCATAGTTGGCTGGCTCCGAGGCGGGGCAGCATATCAGAGACCTGGCAAAGAGGAAACAGCCTCTGGCATGGCAGCAGGAAGAGATCAAGGGAGGAGGAAGGAGACAGAGCCTGCAAAACCATCCCCGCAGTGGCCCACCTCTAACCAGACTTCACCTCCCAACACCACATTTAGCTATAAACCCACAGTGGACAACTCCACTAATGATTATCACCCTGCCAAGCTCCATGTATGAGTACATGAGGCTTTAGGGAGACATCGAGATATAACCCATAACATACCACCTTCTAACCCCTTCAAGGACAGTGCTGGCCAATAGAAATACGGTGTGGACCACAAATATAATGTATCAGCTTTTGTATCTTCATGTGGTGCTGGTGATGGAACTCAGGTCCTCATACACGCTAAGGACATGCTGTACCACCAAGCCACACCTCCAGCCCATGTATGCATCATTTAAAATTTCCTTAGGAGTCCAACTCTTAACAGGTAAAAAAGAGACAAATGCTAATAATATGATTTATTCAATCCCAACATAGCTAAAATATTTTAACATTTAATCAACAAAATGATTTAAAAGACATTGTACCTTTTCTTGGCACTTCATTTTCAAATTTGGTGTGAATTTTTTGCATACAATGCTCCCAAATGGTGGTGGCTGCGTTTTGAAATCTTGATGTCTACCCATGGCTGGTCGTGACCACTTTGGACTGTATAGCTCGCAAATGAAGTACGCCTTTTATCTGTCTCCGCTGCTAGACGATGAGCAGCACTCTGAGCAGAGATTTGTGTCTTATTTTGTTCACTGCGTCTGCAGCTCCTAGAACAGTCTGGAGTACAGTACATGTTCAATAATCATTTGCTGGATGGTTAATGTCTAAACTGCAGCCTGGAGCTGAGACTACAGGGTTTCTTTGGAGATGTCAGGAGAGGTTGGTGGCCGGTGTCGGGACAGGTGGGGACTGGAGCAAGACTGCTGCAAGTCAATGCAGAGCTGACTGCTATGGTTGGAGAGCAAAAGGGTCTTTTTGTCAAGTGCCGGGTGATAGGCTGGAGATGGGGTTTAGCATTTATTACTGCTCTGTGCATGAGAAGTTGCACTTCCAGAGAGGGTGAATAACTGGCCCAAAGTGAGGCAAATTGAGTGCATGGCCCAGCTGGAATTTAAACCAGCTTTCCTGACTCCAAATCTAGTGCTCTTTCCAGGCCGAGGCCACAGCTGCCCCAGGCTAGGGCAGGACATTAACAAATAAGAATGAGTTGTCTAGACTGAGGCAAACAGGCAGAAGAAAGTGGGACAGGGGGAGGATGCCAAAGCCCAGGACTGAGATCTGACTTCCCTAAGCTGGGTAAGGCAAGGCAGGGCAGGCTAAGTCTGAAAGAGATTGCGACACGCAGCCTGCGAGGGTAGTCTTGAAACAGACCAAGAGAAAAGAAGGCGATAAAAATGTCGCACCTAGTTGTACCAGACTCTCGCAGCTCCTCCACCCCAGGGCCTTCCTGAGGGTCTTTCAAGGCCTAAAGAAGCCCCCATCCAGCCTCATGGCCCTCCCTGTTATCACCCCTACTCTCCCTGAGGCTCTTTCTCTTTGTCCCAAGGACCTACTTCCCTGGTCACGGCCCTCCGAGGCCTGCAGAGTCCTGTAGAACTTGGTCAATCTGGGTCCATGGTGCAGGTTAGGACTATCAGGGTGGCCGTATGCCAATCTGGCTGCCAGGAATTCTTTCAGTCCCTTGTCCTCATGCCACTCCTCCCTGTACAAAGGGGAGCCTGGCTTCCTCTTCTGAGCCTGGCTAGACTTATGACTTGATTTGACGAAGAAGAGAGACTCTGGGGCTGTCAGACCTTAAGAAGCATTGTAGCTCCTATTTTTGCCCTCTTGATGCCATGCTATAAGGAAGTTCAACTATCTTGCTAGAGAGAAAGAGATCCAGACAGATAGACAGGCAGGCAGACAGAAAGACTGAGTCAGCCCCCAGCTGTTTCATTAACCCCAAGCTGAGGCCCTGGACATGTGACGTATGCCACTGGATTACCTGGTCCCCAAAGGGCCACTGTACCAGACGATAGGTAAGGTAGAGAGAAATCACCTGTGCTTTCAATTACAGAGCTGTGAGCAAAGGCTGCTATGGTTAAAGCGCTAAGCTTTGACGTGTTTGTTATGCAGCAGGAATACGCAGCAGTCATAACTAGCTGAGCCATCCAATTAAGCAGCTGCCTCTTGCAGATTTTTTTTTTTTCTCTCACCCATAGGCTTTGCAGCTGTGTGTAAAGGCCCAAGGTTTGTGGAGGGAGGTTGCAGCCTAGAAGGATGTGTTCGTAAGAAGATCAGAGAGCAGGGGTCTGCTTAGTAGATCTGGTGGGAAGACCCAATGGGGTTCGGGCTAGCCCAGGCAGGACAGCATTGTGCAAACTCTATAGAGTGTTCGAAGTGTTCTGTGCATGACTTTCCAAGAGTGAGTGGGTCTCACCTGCAGCCTGAAGGGGAGAGGGGGCGGAGGACAGGACGAATGGCCAGGGAGAGTGGCCCGAGGGTTTCACAAGGCAAGGATGTGGGATCCTTTTATTCCCCATTCCTTCCCATCACCCCACAGTTACTGGAGCCCTGTCATGAGTACTGTGCCTTGGTGAAGAATGGTCCTCACATACTAGGTGGCTTTGGCACTGCCACCTGGAGCTGGAGGACAGGTGTGCTGACCATTGCAAGGCCTGCCAGGTGACTTCAGAGATCATTCAGCTGCATTCGGATGTCATCCACCAGGATGCAGGGATAGGAGGGCAGGACAGGGAACAGCAGATTCCAGGCCCTGTGCAGGGCTCAGTGGAGTGTGTGCAGGGACGGAAGGGGATAGAAGGGTGACTCCGGATGAGGAAAGTGGCAGGGACGGAACAGTGACCCCCAGAAATGGCCCGTGGTGGAAGTGCGGGTGGGAACAGGCTGGCCTTGTTTCCCAGGGATGGAATGACAAAAAGATTGTCAAAGGCTCCAGAAAGTTTGTTGCTCTGTGAGGGGCATGTGAGTGCTGCCCTTAGGGAGCCCCCAGTGCCAAGGGCATGTGGCCTTGCCCTCCACCCTCATAGAGCTTCTAGTCTGAGGGGGAAGGACTCTCCGATGCCCATGATGATGGGACCAAGCTCCGGAGGACACGCCCTCAGGCGCTTGGCTGTGGTTCTAGGCCCCACGGGGCCCTCCTCCATCTGTCATGAGCCACGCATGGCTCCCCAGCCTGGCCTAGCATTTCTCCACAATTCCCCTGCCGTCCCTCACTCTGGCTCCAAGTGGGGCAGATTCCAACATGTGCCCATCTCGTGGAGCTCCTCCTGCCCCCTCTGAGGCCTGAGAACCCCAATCACCAGCTTCTGGGGCTTACAGGGGGAAGATTGTGCCTCTCTGCCCCCTCCCCCCTTTAATAGCCAGTCCAGCCACCCTGGGATATGAGGTCCCCTAGGAGGTGGGGCAGAAGCTTGTGAAGCCCACAGTGACCTCTCCTTAGATGCCCTGCCAGGGCTATTGAAGAGTCTAATTCAGGCTTTGTGTGTCCTGCTGAGACTTCTGATGGGTCCAGTTTAGAATCTTGGGTCTGCCCCTGGATCAACTTCTTCCTGAGCCTCAACTTCCTAGTCTCTAAAATGGGCGCAGTAATGTCTATATCCTTATGCTTGGGAGAGAAGTGGATCAACATGGAAAGTAGCTGGAAAGCACCTGTGCATTTGTGGAAAGAATTTGCAAGTGACCAGAACTGGGACATGAGGCTGATCTCCTTTTCCTGTCTCTCAAACCCAATGGGGCTGTGCAGTCTGATGAGGGAGGCTCATGACATTGAGTCCACCTGGTATATATGGCTGGGCTCTGGGCAGAGCTGTGGTCCAACCCTCAAGAGGTCTGAGATGAGAACCTGCCTATTTAAGGATCTTTGGAGGCATCTTTGTGGCCCAGGGATAGAATAGGGCCTGTGTGACTGGGGCTGGGAGGAGGCTTTCTTGAGACTTTGGTGCAGGGCGGGCAGCAGGCAGATGTCTTCCAGGGTAAGTACTCAGGAATGGGTCTACCCAGTCCCCTGCTGCTGTCGCCCCTGTCCAGCTGGCCAGTAGGACCTAAGACCCCGAGACCTGGCTGGTGGGAAGCCTGGCCCACATTGGTACTTGGCATCCCCCAAGGCGCCCTCTTCCCCTCAATACCTGAGCTGGACCTTATTTCATTCGAGCACATGGCCGCCAAAACTCCAGTGTGACAGAGGTCACCATGCCCCAGTCGTGGGGCCGCTGCTGAGTTGGGTAAGGGCTCTGGGAGCCTGCCGGGCTGAGGCCCAGTGGGAAACCAGCTTTCTGGCGAGCCCCCATGGAACTGCGGGTGGGGCTGAGCTGGCTGAGGTCCCGTGACCCCGAGCTGCCCCTGGGAACTCTGACCGCTCACTATAAACACCTCGTGGATATTAATAGCCCTCTATCTGGCAGTGCAGCGCCAATAACATTGGTGGGTCACTTTTGACTGCCTAGGTTCAAATCCTGGTTGCTACTTCTGGGCCCCAGCTCCAAAATTCCAACACAGCCCCATTCTAACAGCTTCTAAACTGTATCTTAGGACACAGTTAACCTTCTTGAATCTCAGCCAACATCTGCAACACAGGCACCTGATTTCTATTCCAGGGCTCTGCATGTGAAAGGGTCACTCTGTCCTCTCTGCTTTTGACATCGATAGTTTCCTGGTTCTGTGCAGGGGCCTCATGGTCTTGAGCTATAATATGAGCATGGTAGAATCACTTTCAAGTGTGATATGGGTAAAATTAGATAATGAACAAAAAGCACTGCTACTTAAGAGGGGGTTCGGTAGGGCTGGGAGTGTAGCTCAGTGACAGTGCTTGCCCTGCATGTGTGAGATCACAGACTGGATCACCAATACTACGAAAAAGGTGTGTGTGTTGGTGGGGGAGGCATTCAATAAATGTAGCATTTGTTGAATGACTGAATGAGTGAAGATGTAGACCTTGGCTGTCTCGCTGTGAGGTTCACAGGGCAGGACCAGGTTCTTTGTCCTCTCTCTGCTCCTTGGGGTGTGGGGGCCGCCGCTCTGTGCTCGTTCTTGGAGGCTGACCTACGGCGTGGGAAATGACTCAGCATTCTAGAAGTTTTCATCCCTCCAAATACAGGAGAAGAAATGGGAGTGACTTCTCTTCTCAGTGAGCTGCGTGCAGGGCTTTGGGACCTGCGGTCTTGGGTCTTGCATAGCCTTGGCAAGATGTGGTCCATCCTTGTCTGTGCCCCAGAGTCTAACCCCCTTCTGGCCCTGCCCCCCCTTACCCCACCCCATCATCCTCCGAGGTAGGTTCTCAGGGTCTCGGATGCCCCTCCTTTCTTGTTGCCTTCCAGTGAGGTCCTGGTGTAGACACTGCACATGGCCCTGGTCTGGGCGTGTCCTTCCTCTGCAGCAGATATGACCATGGGCGCTCTGTAAGGGCAGCAACAGGCCTCCCTCAGAGCAGTGATTTCTTCTCTTCCTCCCACCCCAAGACCTGGGTACTGACCCCTAAGACTCACCCTGACCAAGGTCATCCCTGTGCCCTAGGGAGCCCAGGAGAGCCCATGGCCGGCGAGCACTGCTCCCCTTCCCGATGGCCCTGTGCTGGTCCCCAAACACCTCTTTCTGTGGCAGCCATAATCTCACAGTGGAAACACATCCCCAAGAGCTGAGATCTCTGAGTGTCTCTGGACCTCTGTCCCTGGTCAGCTGCGACCTTAGGCTCTTCTCTGGACACAGTGTTCCTGTCTGTGCAATGGCAGTCTCTCTGGCTGCTGACTCCAGGCCAGGCAGAGACATCTGCCCTTGCTCCGTGGCCTTTGTGGACCATGAGGCCAACACCATGCATCCTCGAATAAGAAAGGGAATTGGGTGCCAAGTGTGTAGGAGCCCCCAGCAGAGTACCTGCTTGCTGGGGTCCCCCTGAATGCAGTTTTTCTGCCTCTGCTGGCCATTGAGGGAGGGAGAAACTCCTGGCCTCAAAGCCCGGAGGTGCCCACAGCAATCACGCTGGATTAGGAAACCAGTGCTCAGGCCCAGTGGGGAAACAGGCTGCTCCCTGCTTCCACTCTGCCCTGCTCCCTGGGTGGGGGTGGGGCCT